GTACATGAAATGAGCTACTGTACAGATATAGCTTTCAGAATATAGCTTACTCTCTCCAATTTTACTTCACATTCAGATTATATTTGGGGTTTTGCCTTCCTTTATAAGAATATAAATGCACTGAATTAGGGTGGTCTTCCTATTCTTAAACTAGTTGAACAGGAATGAGAGAATATATGTGAGCTACCTTAAGAAGTCCAATTTTGTGTCAAGGGTTTTACCAAGTGCTTTATATACAATTATTCATTCACTCATCACACATTGCTTATAACTGATTGTCCCCATTTTACAGATTTGACAACTGAGGCTTCCAGAGATTAGGTATCTGATCTTCATCTATTCAACTCCAAAGCCTGTTCTCACTGTCATATTCTCTGGCTGTCATAACTTCCAAATCAGCTTTTTTACTCTGGTCTATCTGTCTACCAAGTGCAATTTACTGTGACAATCACTGTATGCCATGCTATTATTATAGATGTACATTTTATTTATACAATTCCCAGGTGTAACTCAAAATCTAAACAACCTCATGGTGGACTGGAGTTATTTGGAGACTACAAACTTGCTAGAAGTCTGTGTATGTCCAAGTCTGAAGAAGCCAAGTTTTTCTTACGTTTCTGGATATCCAGGGAAAATGAATTCAGGTCACTAAACATTTTCTATTTTTCATGAAACTAAAATTATGCTTCATATAGATTGGCAAATTATTTATGTATACATGTATACACACACATGTGCATACACAAAAGAAACACACATATCCACAAGTAACTTAGAATGTACCACAAAAATTACTTTGAAAGAGGTAGAGTCCACACATTTGGGAAAACATCAGAACTACAACAACATAAATGTTAATCACCACTCACTAAGAATAGACCAGTTCTGCCAGGGGCAGTGGCTCACGCCTGCAATGCCAGCACTTTGGGAGGCTAAGACGGGCAGATCAAGAGGTCATGAGTTTGAGACCAGCCTGGCCAACATGGTGAAACCCCGTCTCTACTAAAAATACAAAAAAAAATTGGCCAGGCATGGTGGTGGTTACCTGTAATCCCAGCTACTCAGGAGGCTGAGGCAGGAGAGTCGCTTGAACTGGGGAGGCAGAGGTTGCAATGGGCTGAGACTGTGCCATTCATTGCACTCCAGCCTGGGTGATTGAGAGAGACTCCATCTCCAAAAAAAAAAAAAAGAATAGACGAATTCTGCTTAACACTTTCACTTGAGATTATATTGGAGGAATCATTTTATAATGTCTTGAATAGATAAAGTCATCATGGCTATAACATCTTACATTTCCACAGAAGTGTATATTTGTAGATCCTTTTTTCTACAATATTTCACCATAGTCTTCACAACAACACTATGAGTTAAAAATATTTACAAGTTACTTAGGAGGAAATCAAGGTTCCAAGACTTTGAAAGACCTATCAACCATTAAGCAATACTTGCAATGTTTGACTGACATCTTCTGATTCTCAATCCAGAGTTTTTTTTCCTTCTGATTTTAACCCCAGCCTCCACCATTCCCCATTTTATCTGTGACTGCTGAGTAGTCCCAAATGGAAATGCACATAATTGAGTGAGTTGGCTTAATTTATCGCAAAGCCCCTGCTCTATTCACATATCAATTAATCCATCTTTTATTTTGTAATTTATTGGGATCCCTGAGAGGTTGCTCTGAAGTGATGGAGAACAGTATCAAGGACATACAATAGCACTTGTCATCAGAGAGTATATCTTCTTCCTCCCAAGAGTCTTCATTTTCTGTTGTAGGCTGATGCTCTTAGCCTATTCATATTAGCCCCATTTTCAGCATCAGCTCAGCTCTTCAAGCTAACATACAGCTCTAGGCTGTTATAATGACTCAGCAATCAAAATTTCAAGTTCAATCCATCTGGTCCTTACCCACCTCCAATGCCAGGGCTCCCAAAGCTCCTCTCTGCTCATGAACTTACTAGGTGATATTCCTGGCTTTCTTTAAAGGTTCTCAGTAGCTGACTTTCCAGCTGGCAACCCTGTTTGTTACAGAGGGAAACAGCTATTCATGTGTTAAGTGCCCTGGGTCTTAAAAACACAGAAACACACTGGAGAATGTGGGGCCTCCTTGGCTGACTTTAGCAGAGGCCCATAGAAAGGCCTGCCAAATGAATAGAGTTAAATAGAGAAGAAACTGGAATGTCATTTATTCTCCCCAATAAACTCAGAGCAACCCTTCACCAATTCATTCTTTTAAAAATATAAACCTGCATATGTTGCTTCTGGGGAACTTCACCATTTTCTTTAGCAACTCTGACATGTTACTCCTACTGAAATGGAAAGCTCCCTACCCCCATTTACCCTTCTTTTCTGAATTCTCTAAGCAATAAAACAAGCCCTGGTGAATCTCAAAACACTCTCTACCACAAAATAAAACATGAATCTGGAGTTGGTTCTGATCAAAAGCTGTTTATCATTTCTCTGGCCTGAGCTGAAAATAAAGATGCAAAGTTACAGTTGTGCAAACACCATCAGGAATCCTTGAGATGTGGGAGAGATGCTTTGCACATTGCCTAAGCTGTAATCAGAAAATCCAAGTTGGCTTGTACCCCACTTCTATTATTAGCCTAAAATAAGTGATAATGAAAGTGTTGCTATCGCTAGAAGAATCACTCATTACAATTACTAAATCTTAAATACCAAAAAAACCAAGTTGGTATCTTTTGTTGTTATTGCTGTTGTTTTGAGGTAGTGTTGAGAACAAGCAATGCAATTAATTTTTACCAACATCACACATCTAAATATACCAATACTTGGTGAGGATATGAATGGGAGAACAGTCAAAATTAAATAGCCTCAATGGAGAGAGGTACTAATTTGCCAAATTCCAGAACGACTTTTTCAAAGGACCTCTCTCTATCCAGAACAGTCCTCACACAAAATAGATGACCTAAAACACTGTCCTCTGTACCTGGGACTACTTGTCAAAAGCTGCAGGTTAATAAAGAGCTGAACAACTTAAGGAATGCTGATTGACCAACAGAACTTGGGAGCCTCCAATACCCTACCATGACCCATTGGCACTTGGGAGTATCAGGGTCCTTCTTCTTACAAAAGAAACTTCATGTTTCTTATTCACATATTAGTCTCACTTTCAGGTTTTAAGATCCTCAGATTGTTTTCACCACAAAGAAAATAACATTTGATTTAGGGTTTCTCCTAGGTTCAAGCCATTTAAAAATTTTTAAAAAAGAAAACAACAAACCTCCTTTCTAGATGAGAAAAATTTACCTGTACATTATGGGTAACAGATGAAACTACCCTGGTCATAAATCATTACAAGAAAGACAAATTATAAATTATAATGGCAGTAATTTTCCCATGGTAATTTTTACCAAGAGCAAGCACTGTCAGGAGTACTGGGTACAAGGTTGGGCCAGGAGTGGAGGAGGGGCAGCTTCTCACCCTTGTCCTCTTTTACCTGCTTCTCTAAAATCATTATGCAAAAAACGTTAGACAGATGAAAGTCTTAGTGTAATACCAGAGTATAATCTCCTCTTTAAGGTGTTTTTGTTTTGTTTTGTTTTGGGAGGGGGAGTTGCTTTTCTTTTGGTAACTCCTTTTTATAAAAACAAATATCAGTATTTTGAGCATGAACTCTGACATCTCTCTACTTGGTGCTCTCATAAATCTGTGACCCAGGCCACCCAGCCTCTGAATCAATCTATTATGTTACAATCGGCATCTTCTTTCTATACACAGACATCAATACCTGGAGAGAATCACTTAGGCATATCCTTCTCTACCTACTTAACACACCTGTCATCTCTTCCATGAACGTGTCCACAGTGACAGTTCAAGTTGGCTAACATTCCATGATATGTCACTATTCTTTTAAAGATAAACCATCCACAAGCAGTGGCAGATGACAAGTAAGGTACTGTCGCTTTGATGTGGGGTCTCAGCATTTTAGAAACCTATTTACAAGTGATTCTTACTCCCGGGGAGAAGCTAATTGATGCCAATGCAGAGATAAAAATACTCAAAGACACAGGAACACAGATGTTATCACAATGAAATGTTATTTTCCTTTAATTAAATAACCTTGGAATTGAAACAGGTAAAATATTATCTGCATTTCACTTTGAAGGAAAAGCAGGGAAAGATAAAGGCACAGCTAACTACCAGGAAACTAAACAGACTGAGTTAGGCAAGATATTTGACTAAAGTCACCTGAATTCCTGATGCCACTTGCTTTTACAGCCAAGAATAGACAATTAAGAGCAATTTGCAATCACACTCCCTTCTCAGGGGACCACGTAGGGTAAGAGGATGTTCCAAAATGAGCGACACTAGTCTTAATCAGGGGACGCTGCATTCAGAAAGGTTAATGAGATGCAATAGACAGAGAATCAAAAAGACAGAAGAGGTTCAAAATACTAAACAATTTCCACTTTGTTCTCATTTGCTCCAATTAAGAGCTGGTGAAGCAGCTTTTCTGTATTCCATACATTCGCTACTCTCTAGAGCAGAAATAATTATTCGAGAATTAAAAAATAGAGGTATGGGGAAGGGAAAGTGTACCATTAAGTTATCATGAAAGTCCGGATTACACCCCCACCTCCCCAACCCCCAGTCTCTGAGCAGACACACTTTGCCTCTAACTCGGAGCCTCCGCCAGGCGCTTTTCTGATTAATGTTTTTCCTCAAATTTAGAGAGTATTGCAAGGCAGGAGAAAGCTGGAATTACATTTTTTCCAGATTTCTTATATTCAGAATTCCCTGTGAAAATGTTAGAAAAACAAGAGAGGTATAAAAATGGTAAGAGGCATGGGGGATGGTTATACAAATGGAAATAATCTCCTTGGCATAAAAATAGCCCCAAAATGCCACACACTGAGTTCTTCTGAGCATTCCAGTCTCTAGAAATGCGCGTATAAACTGCATACGGATTTCTGAAAACAAACAGGAAAACACAAACATTGCAAGACAAGGACTGAGATCCGAGGAGTCCCATGACTTACCTTCCTTGTGGATCCTCAAAGTTCACCAAGGGAAATTTACAATCCTCTAGCTTGCCGTGCACTACTCTATTTTCTTTTCTTCTTTTTATTTTTTTTTAAGTCATATCGGAGAAAAAGCATCAGTTTTCAAAGGTTCCATGTATCTGATCTTCCAGCACCAGCAAAAACGTGTCCAAGAGACTCCGCCAAAAAGTAAGCCAAAAACTCATCAAAGGCAAAAGCAGAAGGGGGAGTGGGGAAGCAAGGAGGTGGCGAAAGGCGGGGGGTGGGGGCTACTGACTGTGAGCCCAAGTACCCAGAGAATATTGTCACGCTGTTGAAATCTCCTACTGTACGAAATACCTGCTTTGGTTGCCACACTAACACACACACACACACGGACACTCACACATTCTCTTTCATGCAAAAGCAGGCACCCACACTCACAAACACACACAAACACACGCACGCACTCACACAAACCAGTGTAATGTAAACTGTCAGTAGTAACCTCCAAGAGCTGCTGTGTGCTGCAGATGGTACCGCTCACTGTTACCTTCCCAGATCTGTGAAGGATCAAATGAACATCCAAAATCAGGGGGGGCCCAGGACTAGGTAGATTCCAGATCCCTCTCCCCCAGGCAGATGCATCAAGCCAGGAGCAGGTCAATCAGCAGAGGTGTCTGCTTGCAGGGTGCCCCGGATTATGGCAAGGTTATTAATCTTGATGTGCTGCATCCCCCACCCCCAACATTCGGCAGCCTGCATTGATATGATTGCCAGAGCTGTGTCTGTCCCTGTTCTACTGCATTTGCTCAGCCCTCTGATGCTGCAAGTGAGACACGGTGGAGGCAAGAATACTAATAAGGTGGTTAGCTACAGTTTCTTCAAGGCAGTCGGCATGCAGTACAGTAAATGTGTACTTCCCAGTGCTCCGTGTGTGAGCCTGCGTGTCTGCAGGGAGGGCAGTGAATCCATCTCCGGCCAGAAGACGAAATGGTTTGTATCCTGCCTGGGAGAACTATATCATCGGAATCATCATTGTCCTGCCATGGCATTGTCTATGACAGTATTTTGCTCGGGATAAAGAAGGGGGTTTAATGGTTTAGAAGCCTGAAGCTGGCATTTAGAAGTGAAAAAAAAAAAAAATTGGAGAGAACAAATTAGCTTTATAAATAGGATCCAAGGAGACTGAGGCAAAATTTTAACATGCAGCTTCCCTGGCTGTTAAATAGAAATACAAAGCAATTTCAAAAACCAGCTCCAGACTAGAAATCTTGCAGCTGGCAACAAGTATCTAAATTTGACTGATGGGACTGCAGATAAATGGATTCCTGGTAATATAAAAAGTTTGCTCATGCCTCCTGCTTCATAGCCATGGATCCAGTGTGTACAGAAATTTAGGTACAGTTCATTCATTTTTTAAACATGAATTTTGATTTGACACCTGCACTGTTTTACTTTAATGTACATTTTTTAAATCACATAGCTATCAAATTATAGAGAACATCTGTGTGGGACAGCATCACTAGAGGGATTGGTTGACAATTATCCTTCGTAAGCATAATACATAACACTTTTACCTGAAACAAGCTCAAAGTTTTCAGAAAAACAGTATACATCTCTTTTAGTATCAAGCTATGAAATTAAAATATATATGTAAGATGCTAAATAATTATCCTCTAGAGTTCTAAATGTTCTGCTTCTATAATTCAGATTCATATTAAAATACCTTTTCTTTAGTTCAAGACACGCATTATATTATTTAAGTTGAAATAAATTGGTATTATCTGGAAAAGTATTGGACAGTTGGAGAAGGCAGATAAAGGTGAATTATAGAGCAGTGTAATACCAGGTATTGCCAGCAGATGTCACAAAAGAAAACGCAGGTAAAATAATTCTTCCAAGAACGGCAAGCATTTAACCTGATTTAGTAAACACAGCTCTTAATAAAATTGATGGGACTAATAAAAAATACTGAATTTTTATAAAATCTTAAGGTGCAAATAAGAACTTAGAGAATAACTTGCCCTTTATATTTTTCCAAATGTCCGTCTCAAATCACCATTTTTCATAACTCTGGCAGACTTTCTATCATTAATATTGGAAAAAATACTATGCCATTAACTAAGATTCGATTTGCATATAATACTATTTCTATCAGTGATTTTCTTTTGTTGTATGTAATATAGCAGCTACTAGATTAAACTACAAAACAGTTTGTAAATTGGATGAATAAAATTACTCTTTGTTACTCTTTAAAATTAGTTTGAAAGAATTATTCATGTTTAGGAGTCAAACATTAATAAAAAGTGACACATACGTAGAATGTATAAAGAATTTTGGTTGGTCTTTATCAATTCGATTTATGTTAATGTGTGAAATGTTTAAAAGAATCTAGCATATCATCTTAGCCTTCATTTACTTAAATATAACTCATGGGTACACACCAGCTCACAGCACTAACTGGCAAAACTGTCAGTAAAATATAGTGTTAAAAATTGCCCTTTGGAATTCAGATAGACCTACGTTCAAATTTTAGTTTTTCCTTATATAGGGTGGTTAATTTCTACAAGTCATACATCTTTGTCTTTTGCTGGGGCGTTGGGTATGCTTTGTCTCTCTCTCTCTTTTTAAATTTTTTACTGTCACTTGAAAGCAGGACACTAATAGGTACCTAGTAGGATTATTGTGAGGACTGGAATTAATTAATATTTATTATGTGCTTACCATGTCTCCTGACACATAACTGATCTATCAGTGCCATATATGTCTTACAAATAAAGTAGATAATTGAATTTTACTATGTTAGTCTGGCTTTGTGGACCACCAAATAAAGAGGACAAATCATTTAATCAATCCTTTTGGTGTTGAAGATATATTTTTGAATTTGTTTTATTTTTTAGAGATGAAGTCTTGCCCTGTCGCCCAGGCTGGAGTGCCAGTAGTGCGACCGTGGCTCACTGCAGCCTCCGCCTCCCGGGTTCCAGAGATTCTCCTGCCTCAGCCTCCCAGGTAGCTGGAATTACAGGTACATACCACCATGCATGGCTAATTTTTGTATTTTTAGTAGAGATAGGGTTTCAACATGTTGGCCAGGCTGGTCTTGAACCCCTGACCTCAGGTAAACCACCCACTTCAGCCTCCCAAAGTGCTAGGGTTACAAGTTTGATCCACTGCCCCCAGCCTTTAAATTTATTTTCACAAAGAGTTGGTTTGATCTTGTTTTTGTAAGAAGAACAAGATCATTTGACCACTCTTTAAACGTTTCTTACATATATGCATCCTAGTAAGCCCTCTTCGTCCATGGTCCCACATGCACAAAATATTTTTTTAAATAACAATGAAATAATAAAAAGAACACAAATTTTAAAAATATAGCAAATATTTACATTGTATTAGGCATTATAAGTTATCTAGAGATTATTTATGAAGGATGTACGTAAGTTATATGCAAATACTACCCCATTTAAAATGAGATATTTGAGCAATCATGGATTTTGATATACAGAGGAGGCGTCCTGGAACCAATCCCCATGAATATCTAGGGATGACTGTATATGCATTTTGCTTTATATGTGTATCCTAAGACTCAATAGGAAGGGGAAATCACTTTCTTGATTGTCTGATATATTGACTCGAACAGGGTATTTGGAAAGAAATCTAATGGCAACTCACTGCTTCCTCATCAAGACTTGTTTGAAGCCAATAGTGTCACCAAACACTAAAGTGTTGGTACTTAAAAAAGTACTATGTGTTTCTGCTTAGGTTCCCCCAAATTTATATGTTGAAACCCTAATCCCCAGTGCTATGATATTTGGAAGTGGGGATCAATGAGATTCAAGACAAAGTATTCCAAAATACGGCACCTTGACATTTAAGAAAATGACAGAAACAGAAAGGTCACTCTCACTTTCCTCTTCCCTTCTCCCCTGAAACTGGCCGTAAAATCTAGCTAGTCTTACCAGAAAGTAGGTCATAAAGCCTTCATTCCAGCAGGGCCCTCCCTATAAGCTGAGAAAAGAGAAATTCTGAGAAACTCTTGTCCTTGTAAACACAGAGATGCCAAGAAGAATCTGAACAAACGGGCCTAAGTTCTCTCCACTTTATTACCTTTAAATCTAATCCTTTTTCTCCAGTCATTCTTCTACATGACTGTATACCATTCATGAAACATAAACATAAATATACGCAAATTTCCCTGTCTATATGGGTCTTCATTTCTGAAGGATCCCATGTCAACTGAAACGTATTCAATACAGGTATATGTTTTCATCTTGTTAATGTGTTGATATAGGGACCATAGCCATAAACATTGTGATGAGTGAGGAAAAAATATTATTTTCCTTCCCTAAAAGGGTCTTTGGGAGTTAATTAGGTCATAAGAGTAGAGCCCTCTCAAGTAAGATTAGTGCCTCTTAATAACGCATGTGGGAGAGAAAATCTCTCTCTCTGCCATGTTAGAATGCAACAAGAAAGTATCTGTTCAACCAGGAAGAGAACCCTCACCAGAAGCCAAATCAGCAGATGATACCTTGATCTTTGAATTTCCAGGCTCCAGAACTATGAAAAATAAATTTCTGTTGTTTAAGCTGCCCAGCTAAGACACAAGGTTAAAAAAAAAAAAATTGTTACAGTTTCTTAATCAGGAATTCAATGACAGACTACTGCAGATTAAGATTTTTAAATGGATGCTTGGATATTGAATTTTTTAGCTACTGATCATTGGACAATTATTAGCAATACAATAAGTACTTTTTGAGGGAAAGGAATACCAAGAAGGTGGCTACAGGGCAGCAGTTATATGTAAATTCCTTCTGGGTCTCTTGAAGAATTGTGTTAGACTAAAAATGTGTGTTATAAACAGTAAGCATCCTGAAACTCCAGGGTGGGTTGAATAATCTGTATATTAAAGTTGAAAAAGAGTTTCTTTGACATTAGATTGCTATGTAAGATTAAATGCATCTCCTCCCTCATTCCAAGAAAGCTTAGTGTCATCAGTAGTCCTCATATTACGAAGATCAGACACATGGTAATATATTAACTTCAGGAAAGAAGAGCACTTGTGAGTTCCTTTCTTTCCTCATAAGCAAAATATTAAAAATTAAAAAAACTTATTTTCTAGAAGATGTTAGTAATAGAAAACATCAACTCTGAAAAAAAAAAAAGCCAGATAATCTGAGACTTTTGAACAGTATGTTTGAATTAAGGAAGAAGAAATGCATCTAAATCCACATTATTGAAAAATTCTAAATTTGTCTGAGATAAAAAGTAATCACCCACTACAGACAGCAGATAAATGTATGACTTTAATATGAATGTGTTTTATTTTGAGGGAGTCAAGAGTGAGTATGAAAGGTCCCACCACCATCAATATGAGCAGATTTCTCTTCCAATTTATATGTAAAAATTTCAATTTTGGAGTTTCTTTTAGCTTAGTTTATAATATGCCACTCATGTTTCTGCTTGTGACCTGCACCATAGACTAAGAAGCCTAAAACAGAAATTTAAGTTAGTATTTGCTACCTCATTGGCTTATTGTAAAATCAGTTTGCCTGAAATTCAAGTTTTCTGAATTCATTTAATAGCCTAAAAGATTATATTCTATTATTTCTTCTCTTGAAATTGTCATTAATTAAATATTGAATTAAACTTGGCTTTTTTATTTAAAGTGTTTTAACCAGTTACTGGGGGTTGGGCATTATTATATTCCTCAAATTATTTAGCCTTCCTATTTATATCTAGAAATTGCAAGCTTAGGTAAGTCCAGCATAAATGCTGAGCTATTTGGATCAATTTCTCCATGAAGTTGGCCTTGAACTTTATAATTACTTTCTCTTATAAATCAAAATAATATTTAATCCATTTTCACTTAACATTTATTATTTTATATGCATAATACACATCTTAAAATAACTTTTTTTATGTCTTATGTCGTTTTTGTTTCCTAAAGAGAGTCTAACACAGGTCCCTCCAAGCCTCAGGTAACAGATAATTTTTTAGAGTTGTTACTAATAAAAAAAACATGCTAAGATATCATTCCATTTAGAAACTTTATACAGCATGTCATGGACTGTGGCTCTTCTTTTGACTTCAGACTCTGAATGGACTAACAATAGTCGGTGTATAGATTGCCGGCAGTTGAAACCTGCTATTTCAT